ACAACAGACAAATAATAATTAAACAAGGGAAAACACATTTTCATGTTACCAATACGAAACATTTCAAAAATAAACTTCGCATCACAGCCTATCTCACGAACAACGAAATCAGTAGTCAGATAATTAATCTTTTTAAAAATTACATAGATCCAAAAAAACTTTACTGCCTACATGTTCATAGCACAATCACCATCGATCTAATACCATTATTAATAACGACTTTACAAAACACTTTTAAAAACCATAGTTACAATCTAGTTATATCAAGAAAATTCGTAACAGATGTACAAGAAGTGGATGAACGCGAAAATTTAATTAAATATCATCATGAAACCAAAACTTGCCACCGCGGAATTAACGAAACACAAACTGCTTTGAGAAACAAATACTATTGGCCAGACTTAAATTCAGATATCACACGGTATATAAATCTTTGCGATATATGTAATCAAGCGAAATACGACAGACACCCTCCAAAAGTTAAATTTTCACTCACAGTTACCCCCACAAAACCCTTCGAAACTATTCATATAGACGTTTTTCAAATTATGAAAACTAAATTTCTTACAATCCTCGACTCTTTCTCAAAATACGGCCAGGCGTATGTTATTGAGCCAATTCTAAATTCTGCAACGATTATTGAATGTTTAAGTATATTTGTATCACACTTCGGAATTCCATATTCAATCGTAAGCGATAGTGGAACAGAATTTAAAAGCGAATTACTACAGGAATTTTGTAAATTACATAAAATCAGAATCCATTTTACGACACCCCAAAATTCAAACAGTAACAGTCCGGTGGAACGATTTCATTCATCCCTCTTAGAAAACTGTAGAGTTTTAAAACTGCAACACCCTAATATGCATATAAAACAAATTGTACAGTTCGGTGTCATAGGTTACAATTCCTCGATACATAGCGTGACTGGACATCGACCATACGACATTATTCTAGGCAATACAAAAGCTCTTGACCCATTTGACTTAACGGACGAATATCTCATTAACGAATATATAAACGAAAGAAAAATTCGACTAAAAACACTTTATCAGCATATTTTCGACAAAACGGTGCAACAAAAAGAAAAGGTCATCGGAAATCGCAACGAAACTCGCGAAAATCCAACGGTATATACTGAAGGACAAGAAATATTTGTAAAAAATAGAGAAGCTACCAGAAATAAATCAAAGCCTCGTTTCGTAAAACATTCAGTAAACAAAGACCTTGGAAATAAAATATTAATAACAAAAAATAGAACTATACACAAATCAAAGGTCAAAAAACCATATGCTAATATTAGACTTTCTTTACAGAACGATCGAAATGTGGACGATAATACCCCTGATCCTCAGCCTTCCACTTCCGGTTGTAATAAAAAGTAGCGATGTAGAAATATTAGAATTAAATACCCCTTTATTACCCTTAGATATAGGAAAAACAAAATTAATACAAACAAAACATACATTTTTTCATTACATTGAAACGGAGTTATTAGTAACTCAATTGCGAAATATAGAACGTTTTTACGATAGGCTAGAATTCTCATTAAATTTTACAAAGTTCGAAGATGTGGGACTTGTAATAAATTTGTTCGAACACGCAAAATATTTGCTAAATACTACAAGATTAAAATTAAATAATTTTGTAACTTTCGAAAATAAAAATAATAATAATATTAGAAATAAAAGAGGCTTATTTGGCGGAATCGGAACAGCCAGTAAATGGCTTTTTGGCACTCTAGACCATGAAGACGAAATTAAATATAACACTCAAATCCAAAACTTAATTAAAAATCAAAACTCATTTTCACATCAATTACAACTACAATCCTCTCTCAACACCCAGCTCATTAACCATTATAATCAGACAATAAATAACCTTTACAAAAACCAGCTACTGTTACAAGAGAGACTTAATGATATTTGCAACAAATCAAAAAATTTTACCGATCAAATGTTCATGTATATACGGTTACCCAATGCTCTTGATCAAATAATTTTGAATTGCCAAAATTTAATAAATTTCGTAGATAACTTGGAAAATGCTATTATATTTGCCCATTTAGGTAGCTTACACACTTCAATAATTCCTTTAAAACAATTGACAAATTTGATAGAACATGTTTCAATAATTCACGGCGAAACAAAAGTCATTAAATTTAAAAATCCATACAATTATTTCCAATTAGCAGGAATACAAGTAAAATTCGAAAATTCAAAAATAATATTTGCTATTCACATTCCTATTTTAATTAACAGCGATTTCTTGACCTATCACATTATTCCTTTGCCCTATGAAAATTCCATAATCATAACACCCAGTCCCTTCCTCGTACTCAGTACCGAACTCCATCAATATGAAGATAAACCTTGCCCACAAATCGAGGGAATCCTTTTCTGCGAACACCATGAAGATGTCACAAACGACACCTGTGCCATAGCCCTGATTCGAGCCGAAAAATCAGTCTGCAAAGTCGAAAAAATAGTTCTATATCACCCCATAATAGAACAAATCAACAATAAATTCCTACTAGTACTACCTACCAAAATTCCCGTAAAAGTCTGGATAAACTGCGAAAGAAAGAAAATAGCCATAATCAACGTCAATACAATTATCAAAATTCCCAAGGGATGTAGTATTAAAATAAAAAATTCCCTATATGAAAACACAGAAGAAAATGCAATTGGAAACCCTCTAATATTGCCAAAAATGGAATGGAGTCCATCAAAATCAAATTCAATTTACCAAAACCTTCCTCTGAAATTACATTCAATAAACTTCAAAGCCATCCAAGAACTACAGAAGATAGCAAAATCCACCCAAATTCCACAAGAAATCCACCCCATAATCTGGAATGTGCCCAGCCTAACGATAGTAATTGCCTTGGTATCTACTATTATCTACGTATGGTACCGAAAAAAGAAATCCAAAAATCACCAAAATCTCTCGGAAGAAAACCACCAACCCGAAAACAACCCCATATCAGTATTGTTTTCGCCTAAGGAGGGAGGAGTTATATAAGAAGAAACGTCGAGTCTATTAAAATATAAAACCGTAAACGGCGCAAACTGTTAACTTTGCATTTATTATTATCATTAAAATTATATTATAAAAAATTCATTCCAGCTTAGATTGTTGTAGAACAAAGTCATAAATAAAGTCTCTAATCTTCGAAAAGTAAATTTTTGTTTTTTTAAAAAATTATTTTCGAGTTAAATAAATTTAACTTGTCTAATTCGTATGAAATTAATTAAGGTTGTCCTTAAAGACCACCTGCATCATTTCTTTTATTTTTTAAATATCCCGGTTTTGGGGGGGTGCACAAACGAAAATTTTTGTTAAACAAACGTGGACAAATCGTGGACAATCAAATGCCACATTGAAATTAACAAAAAGTTTTTTTGGTGGCGCTGTGAAATTTGACTAAAATTTTTAAATATGCTATAATTTTTTTTTGAAGGGCGGACAAACAAAAATTTTGCTTGGACAAACGAAAATAATGTGTGGACAAACGATTGTCATGTCTAATTCGTATGAAATGAATTAAGGTTGTCCTTAAAGACCACCTGCATCATTTCTTTTATTTTTTAAATATCCCGGTTTTGGGGGGGTGCACAAACGAAAATTTTTGTTGGACAAACATGGACAAATCGTGGACAATCGAATGCCACATTGAAATTAACAAAAAGTTTTTTTGGTGGCGCTGTGAAATTTGACTAAAATTTTTAAATATGCTATAATTTTTTTTTTGAAGGGCGGACAAACAAAAATTTTGCTTGGACAAACGAAAATAATGTGTGGACAAACTATTGTCATGTCTAATTCATATGAAATGAATTAAGGTTGTCCTTAAAGACCACCTGCATTATTTCTTTTATTTTTTAAATATCCCGGTTTTGTGGGAATGGACAAACGAAAATTTTTGTTGGACAAATGTGGACAAATCGTGGACAATCGAATGCCACATTAAAATTATCAAACAGTTTTTTTGGCGGTGCTGTGAAATTTGACTAAAATTTTTAAATATGCTATAGTTTGTTTCTGAAGGGTGGTCAAATTAAAAATGGGCCTGAACAAACGAAAATAATGTGTGGACAAACGATTATCATGTCTAATTCATATGAAATGAATTAAGGTTGTCCTTAAAGACCACCTGCATTATTTCTTTTATTTTTTAAATATCCCGGTTTTGGGGGGTGGACAAACGAAAATTTTTGTTGGACAAACGTGGACAAATCGTGGACAATCGAATGCCACATTAAAATTATCAAAAAGTTTTTTTGGCGGTGCTGAGAAATTTGTCTAAAATTTTTAAATATGCTATAGTTTGTTTTTGAAGGGTGGTCAAATAAAAATTGGGTTAGGACAAACGAAAATAATGTGTGGACAAACGATTGTCGTGTCTAATTAGTATGAAATGTATTAAGGTTGTCCCCAAAGACCACCTGTATTATTTTTTTATTTTTGTAAATATCACGGTTTTGGGGGGTGAACAAACGAAAATTTTGGTTGGACAAACGTGGACTAATCGTGGACAATCGAATACCACTTTGAAATTATCAAAAAGCTTTTATGGCGGTGCTGTGAAATTTGGCACAAATTTTAAAATTTGCTATAACTTTTTTTTGAAGGGTGGACAAACGAAAATTTTTGTTGGACAATCGTGGACAAATCGTGGACAAACGATTGGCAATTTATTTTTATAAAAATTCGGATTTGGCGGTGCTAACTTCACGGACCTTGACCTATTGTAGGCTAGCAACAATGCTCAAATATAACAAAAAGAGGACAGTACTGGAACGAAATATATGAATGAAATAGTTATTTTGAAAAATACGTACCCATATTTTTATTTTATATGTAGTAAACAAAAATGCCTATCGATTCATTTTTATAAATAAATATTAGAATAAGGGCCAGTTTAGCACCTGTCAGCTAAGATAAAATTAACTACTTGCTAATTAGACTCTAGGTTATAGTTGCAAATAAAGACAAAATATTTGTTTATGTTTTTAATATTTATTTAACTAAATATGTAATATAAATGTCTAATCAGTTCTTGGCAAAAGGTGGTTCACTACCAGTTAACAAATAGTAGGTACCATTTGATCTGAAAAAAATAATAATAATAAGTAAATAAATAATTAAAAATAATAAAAAAATATGATAAAAATTTAAAATTACGTACAATAAAGCCTAAAAAAAAATGATGATAGCAGTCGAATATAAAAGTACAACCAAATTAATGTTAAAATAGTTGTGGTAAGCTTGACGCGTTTACTCGTAAGAATTTCGTTTTCGTAAAATTATTTGATAGAATACGCTTGATGTTTAGTGGTCCATCATTGTTATTAAATAAAGCTAATATGGGTAAAACATAACTAACAGCTTTTTCGCCATCTCCTAACTACACATCACTTTATCGGCTCCATTCTGTATGCTAAGAAATTTGAAAAGGTGTACTAAACAACGGAATTATTTATTAACAATTTCTTGCTCCTGAGGACGAACATCAATTTAAACAATAAAAATATTACTTACTGTTTATCAAGGTCATATCCACCCATAAACGAAGTAGGTTTAGATTTACATTTTCCTTGTTTAAAATGCCTGTAGCTGTCACATTTGTGCGAGAGGAATCCACCAGATACTATAGATTCCGCAAAATAGTAGTAGGATCTAGCGTGAGAGCAAGCACCTGAAAATTTAAATTTAAATTAGAGATATAAACAGAAAAGAAAAATATTACACATTAGCAATCGTTAATATTTTGAACATCATCAAAACAAATCTGATGTGTCCAACACATGACTTTCCTATGTAGTTATTACAGGCTTTTTCCGGTTATTTTGTACAATCTCTGTAAATGTTTAGAGGATAAACTAAATATATATATTTTCCACATACTTCTAAATGGAAACATTATTTTATATATATTCATTACCAACAAAAATACTGAAACATTAAAATTTTACACTTTTCCTTAAATTTTTTATTTTAACGATTTTCTTAAAAATTAGAATTTTGAACATTTTACTAAATTTCTCGATTACGGACCATTTTAGGAAAATTTTGTATGAAGCAAAAATTATAGATTATAGATTATATTATATTATATTATATTATATTATATTATATTATATTATATTATATTATATTAGAAGAAAATAAAGAATTTTTTTCTCCAAACGTAAATAACAGATATATTTCATAAAATATCAAAATGGCCCCCTATAAAGTTCCCCCAGACGTTCCGACTATACCAAAAATCTATTCAGTTCACCGCAGGCCAGAATAGAAGTTAAGTTTAAAATTTGGTGTTTTCCTTTTTATCAGTTTTTGAGTTTTCTTCAAAATTCGAAATTTACACTTAGTAGTGTTCTACTTTTCCTAATGTTACCAATTATTTATAGGGAACACGGCTTTACTGGGCTTTGGTTTTACACCAGCGACCAGGGAGGATCAATCTTTAGGGGGAGAAACTCCTATGCGCCAGTGGGGTAGCGATAAAATCAACCACCTTCACTTCACCTTTGGCGCTGCAGTCGTGTGATGTGAGGATGGTGGGCGTGTTATGACAGATGACAGGTGATTATTGATTTTTGTGGGGGGTTATGGCTTAAACGGAAGCGTGAAGTTTGGTTAAGTTTATTTATATTGATGACTTGCTTGAATTCAGTTGTGTCATTTTCAATTTGCTTAATGGATCTAGTTGACCATTGTAAGCTTGTTTCCCTTATATAAATTTGTGCTTTTTGAGCTGTTATTTTGTGCTTTTTCTGCTGTTTTTTTGTGCTTCTTCCATGAAGAGGCCTGGTAAGTATAAACATTGTTGTTTACCAAATTACCTTGATGTGGACAACAAGATGCATCGCTTATTCCATCCTACGTATTCATCCGATTTATTTGATATTTGGGCACTTGCTCATCGTTGTCTAAAATTGTATAATAAAAGAAAACAAAAAAAGTTATTTCACATTTATAGTATACCACACACATTTTGAAGAAGAGCTTAAAGTAGTTTACTATTTCACCTAGCAGTTCGGGGTTGCAAAGCTGTATCGTAGAAGAAGAAGCGGACTAATAATATATTTTGGACTTCTTTCCGAGAAAGAAAGTTAGTACCTAACTCATTTATTTTCTGTTTCATGACCTTAAGAGTCCAAAGCTGTATCTGACTTTTCATTTTTGATTAATACATTTTTAATGAGATTGTATTTATACTGTCTTTCCTGTTTCACAGATAAAATTCTTCATAAAATAAGTGGCAGTGTTGTATCCTGGAATATATAGCCTGATATCTAGCTACTTCATACATATTACAGTTTTTATATACATTTTTTAAATATTGATTTTGTATTGTATATATTTTAATAAATTAATTTTTTGATTATGCTTTTTTTTATCTAAAAACTGTTAAGATTGGTTCATGCAACTCAATTTTTGCTTTATTAAATCGAATATTTTGAAATTTTTAGGGAATAGCAAGCTCTATAAGGGGACAAACCCCATTGCTTTTTCAAAAAATCTGAATAAAAATAGGGCGGTTAAGCGGTGTTGAAATAAAAAAAAATATTTAATCTAAACCGAGAAACGATAACAACTTGAAATTTTTAGGGCAAATCAAGCTCTATATGGAGACGAAGCCTATAAATAAAAATGGAGGAGTTAAGGGGGATGAAATTAGAGAAAATCAGAAATAAAAAACGAAATGCGATGTCAATTTAAGTTTGTTTATTAAAAATCAAGCTTTTTATAATGGGATGAAGCTTATTGATTACTGAAAAAAAAATCCGAAATAAAATTGGGGGTTAAGGAGGTTGAAATATTAAAAAACTCAAAAACGAACAATGATCAACCTAAAATCTTTAAAAAAATCAAGCTTTATAAGGCGATAAAGCCTATTGATTCTGAAAAAAAAAAAATTAAATAAAAATGGAGGCTTCAGGGAGGTCTGTTAAACTGTGAAGAGCATAATATAGAATGCTAAGCATTATATATCTTTATTGTAGTTGCCGTAAATGATTTTGCTAATAACTTACTTATTTTGGAGGTTTAATGAGCTTACATTAAATTGTATAAATTCCAATTTTTTCACTTTTGCCTTGATGCCACAAATATCTCTAATGCATGAATGTCACAAATATGGCTGGCCATACGTGTATGTGGGTGTCTGATGGTGTCTGCATCCACGATACCTCAAAAATGTATTCAGAGAAAAATTTTGGGCACATTCGGAGCATCTGGGGGTACTTTATAAGAAGTAAACATAGGTTTTATTGTGGTGCTATATTATAAGAATCTACTTTTCAGAGATAGTTTTCACTCTCTAGAAGTTAGCCATATAGTTCCAAGCAGAGGCAGTTTCTCTATTGGTTATATTTCACAAAAACACATTATTTAAAAATAAATCCGTATCGCTACTGCGCTCTGGCTAATCGCCTCTCCGTGGAGCACTTTTAAAAGTAAGTGTGAGGAAACGAGAAGATTTCGTGAAAGTATTTAGCTAAAAAGATAGGTGAAACGTAGGAAACAAACAATATGCCTGCATAACGTCACAGAGAAAGGGCGGAGTATACGAACTTTCCAATCGTTGATATAAAATAAGGCGTAGATGCTATGACGATACTAAAAGTGATCGCACATGTCAAACTCGAACAAGTGGAGCTAGTCAGTTTTGGTGAAAATAAATACCATTTTTTTTAATAGCATGATTAATTATTAACTTCAAATTAATCAAAATACGACTTAACGTGCGTTCAATTGTCATATCGCAATATAGTGTTTATGTCGGTCATCTCAACTTCATTCTTCATTCTGATTCTATATCTATGTTTCCAATCAAACTACATTTTAAATACTCGATTTATTAAATTCCCAATTTTATTTGTTTAAATAAAACTGTGACTTTAATAAATCTGAAGAATGTGTGTAAATTCAACGATTGTTCTAGTACAATTTTATATAAATAATTGTTTTATTTTGTAGGTTGTCCCTTATTATATCTGGTTGTTCCTAATGAATTTAAAGTTATAGAAATATATCTATAAATGCTAGATTAGTGTCAGACTGATGTAGCGAAGAGGATTTAACTCGAGCGATAGTGTCACATGCATTTACAAAAAGATGGAAGCTTAACTTACATTATAATAATAATAATATTATATGTAAATATGGAACACAAAAGTGTCCAAACAAAATTCAGTCTGCTCTACTAAAAAGTTGACTAGAATGACAGTGCAATTTACCTCTGAGGTACTGATTATTAAATAATTTTCAAAAATATTGACTTTATAATTTTTTTATTGAACCTAATTTTTAGTCTATTATTGTTTTATCCTTGATTATATTGTCAATATTATACTAATTATACTATTTACACAGTAGTCTGTGAAGAGTATTATAGGTTTACTTTGTCCATCTGTATGATGTCACGTTTTGTCTGCACGATAAGTCAAAAACGAAAAATAATATCAACTTGAAAATTTTAAGCAAAAAACAAGCTCTATAAGGGGACAAAGCTTATTGATTTTGAAAAAAATCTGTTTAAAAATATATTAAAATTAAAAAAAAAATCCTAAATTAAAAATGAAAAGCCATATTAACTTGGAAATTTTAAGCAAAAACAAGCTCTATAAGGGTCAAAGTTAATTGATTTTGAAAAAAAATCTGATTAAAAATAGGGGGTTAAGATGGATTGAAATTAATAAAAAATCCTAAATTAAAAATGAAAAGCCATATCAACATGAAATTTTTAGTAAAAATCAAGCTCTATAAAGGGATGAGGCATTTTTATTGTGAAAAAAATTTGAATAAAAGTGGGGGTTAAGGGAGGTTGAGTTATTTAAAAAAATGCTAACTTAAAAACGAACAAAATATCCACTTAAAATTTTTGGAAAAATCAAGCTCAATAAGGAGATGAAGCCTATTGATTTTGAAAAAAATCTGATGAAAAATGGGAGTTAAGGGGGTTTGTTAAACTGCGAGGAGTATAATTTAGAATGCCACGCATTATATATCTTCATTCTAGTTTGTATCTGGGTAATGTTATGTATTGTGATGGGACTAATCTTATAAAATAAGCATTTTAGTTCACTTGGTTTATTTGCCAATAAAATGTATTCAAAAAATATATTATTTTATTTGACATTTGTGAAAAATTGTGAAAATTGTTAAATTTACAATAAAAAAAGAAAAACGATAGGTAAAGTTTCATATGATATTTTTTACACAAAAATCAATGTCAAGCTTTCTACATAACCTGATATATATTTAAAAATAATCTCAAAATATGAAGAAAAGTGAGCTGAATATAATTAACAATATTTATAAATGGTTTTCAACGTATTAAAAAAACAAATATTACAATACCTAAAATATTCATTAAAAATTATAGTGCTTGCAAAACAGTATAATATTGATAATAATAACTAAACTAATACAAACGCAAATAAAAAAAAATATAGGGATTATTGCTGCCTTTGAATATCCACATCGGATGAATCTGAGATTTTGTGAATTTTTTATCACGTGATAGAGGATTAAATCTAAATGTAGGTGTAATTTTAGTAAAGTATTCGAAATTACAGTTAGCAAATTTCTCTATAGGCATATTGAAAATTCAATTTTACCTGAACAACATGGATTTGTTCGTGGGAGGTCTACTGTTACCAATCTAGCCATTAAAACTCAATTTAT